CTCACCGAAGTCAGGATCCACGGCAAGGTCTCACATGGTCATTCCTGTGAGCAGTGCAGGAGAGGTGGTGGAGAGGAACTGAAGTGCAAGGATGATGTGTAGTTGGTTTGATAAATTGCTCAAGTGTGAGTACTTTTCATAATCCCCTGGTAAACTGAGAGGACATGTCAGGGAGGGTGCTGCAGATTGAAGAAATCCATTAATGCCAAGCAGAAGGGAATGGAGCTTTCTGTGAAGTCTGCAAAGGAAAGAACTCTGGGAAGGGTTGTGAGTATCCTGCTTCGTTGAGGTTTTAGCGAATGTTGTCATAGCTCTTCATAGGCTTGAATTAAACAGGGTTTTGAAATAATAGAATTATACAATGGTTTGGGTTGGAAAGGACCTTAAGATCATCTAGTTCCAACCACCTTGTCCCCCAAGTCTCTGTCCACCCCTGCCTTGAACTCTGCCAGGGATGCCAGGAGCATTTACCACTTCTTTGGGCAGCCTGTTCCAGTGCCTCACCACCCTCACTGTAAAGAGCTTCTTCCTTGTATCCGACTTGAACTTCCCCTGTTTGTGTTTAAATCCATTACTCCTTGTCCTACCACTACAGTCCCTAATGAAGAGTCCCTCCCCAACATCCTTATAGGCCCCCTTCAGATACTGAAAGCTGCTCTGAGGTCTCCACGCAGTCTTCTCTTCTCCAGGCTGAACAGCCCCAACTTTCTCAGCCTGTCTTCATACGGGAGGTGCTCCAGCCCCTGATCATCCTCGTGGCCTCCTCTGGGCTTGCTCCAGCAGGTCCATGTCCTTATGCTGAGAACACCAGAACTGCACACAGTGCTCCAAGTGAAACCACAGCATCCTTTAAAAAAGCCCACCAACATCTTTCATAGGACAGTTTGGGTTGGAAGTGACCTTCAAAGCTCATCTAGTCCAACCCCCTGCAATGAGCAGGGACATCAGCTAGGTCAGGTTGCCCAGCCTACATCCAGCCTGGCCTTGAATGTCTCCAGGAATGGTGCATTCCCTGCCTCCCTGGGCAACCTGTGCCAGTATTTTACCACCTCATTGTAAAGAATTTTTTCCTCATGTCCAGCCTGAATCTCCCCTTTTTAGTTTAACTCCTCCTCCTATCGCAACAGACGCTGCTAAAAAGTCCCCATCTTATAGGCCCCTTTCAAGAATTGAAAAGCCTCAATAAGTCTCCCTGGAGTCTTCTCCAGGCTGAACAACCCCAACTCTCTCAGCCTTTCCTCCTAGGAGAGGTGCTTCATCCCTCTGCTCATTTTTGTGGCCTCCTCTCCAACAGGTCCACGTCTTTCCTGTACTGAGGATTCCAGAGCTGGACGCAGTACTCTAGGATGGGTCTCAACTACTACATAGTGTAGTCTGAAGAGCACAGATGCACCTTTATTTTTGTGAGTCCTGCTTGCATCAAGGAGACATGTTCCTGTGTAGGTGAACAGTGGAGGAACAGGATAATTGGCCTGTGCACCATGAGTGAAACTGAACCACAGCAAACAAATGTGGTACAGAGATGGAACCAAAACGCTGCAGGTGATGCAATGGCATGTGGACCTGTAGGCCTGCAGGCACGGTGAATGCTGTTGGGTAAATGAAGGGACCAAGAAAAACACTTCCTGATTTGTTGGACTGTTTTCCCTTTTTATTCCTTATCTCCAGCATGCTTCAGCACTGCATGTCAGGTCAAACGTTGCTTTCATTTCTGCTCTCTGCCACCCCAGACTGGGAACCTCAGCAAGCCACAGCCTGCCCTGCATATAGCTCCTGCATGCTGTGCTAGGGCTGAGGCACTGCCGAGTACCACAGTCCCTCCTCAAACTGCAACTTCAGTCAGCAAAACTAGCTGTTAAGTAGCTTTTGAAAATGGGCATTTCTGGCATTTCTGAGATTTTACTCAAGATCGTAGAAGGATTAGGTAATACCACCCAGCTCTGCCCCAGGAGCATTGCTCAACGTTGAGTCTTGGCAGATGTCTGTCTTTTGTCAGGAGCCCTCCAGCCCCACAGAGAAGCAGCACGGTTAATAATGCCCTACCTCTCATCCCTCAGGACACAGAGACAAATGGATCCATGTAGCTGTGCTTCATGGTTCTCTCACCGCAAAGGTAAACGAGAAGCCTGCAATACATACTTTGTATATGTGTACATAAATATCTTTATGCACGGTTTTACAGACTGGCACCATTAACTTGTGGAAAAAGGATATCTTTCAACCTCAGTGCTATTAAATAATTGTCATCCTGGAATGATGATTACCCAGGATTTATTGAGCATTGTCAGTGTCCTTAATGCTGTGTAGCCGTATCCTTGGCGTAAGAAGCCTATCCTGCCAGGCTGTGCACTTTGGATGTAGGCACAGTAGTAGCGCGGAGGGTGGCTCTTGGGAACATTTGGGGAGGATTCTTATGACAAAGTGAGCTGAGGCACAGTGTTTCCAAAACAGCTTATGGAGCAGCACTGGGTGGCAGCTATCGATGAGCACTTTTGCGTTTTGCCTAAAGAAAAAACGTGTAGCTAAGAATTACTTATCTTCCTTCCTATCCCATACTGAAAAAAGGTTGTACAGTGAAAAATAAGTTGGTTTTCTTCCCCCTCTTCCCATTCCTTGTAACTGCCTGTCTGTCTTTTACACTGTTCTTTTTCCTTTAAAACTTTGTTGTAAACAAAGCTGGCCTTCTGTTTTTAACCTTTTACATGCTGTTCCCTTTCTAAACCTTCTGAATCAGCTACTGAGTATTCCCTTTGAACTTTAGAATGCCCTCACTTTGGGAAGTAGATGATGTTCCACTATCTAAACATGCATGTACCTATGGGATTTCTGGTATGAGAAATCAGCGTCTGATTTTATTTTGAGAGGAGGATGATTACAGAGTTTATAACCCTCTGCAGAATGTTGTGTATCATTTCCAACAGACTAGTTGTGGTCCCTGTGGGATAAAATTCACTCCGATCCATGCTATTTGAGATTATATTTATTCTCTGAATTTCTGCAGGCCTCAGCTTTGTTCGGTGGTACTTTAGTTTTCCTAAAAATATTTACATACCTTTGTGTGGCTTCTGCTTGTTATATCCATCTTTAATGCTTATTCTCTCTGGTGGAGTTCACACAATCAGTCATGTCCTTGTTAATGCATAGAAGCATGAAAACAGATTTTAGTTAATTGCCATGTGCTAGCAATCAACTTCTATTGGTTTGGGATTGGTCTTCAATTGGAGAATGACATTTGGGGAGCTGGGAAGAAAGGGTAGTCATCTTTTTTCTGTCAGTGTCTTTAAAAGGCATTGTTTTGCCTGTTTTTAGGCTTGGGAGAAAGGCCCTGCATATCCTTGCATGTGTAAGGCAATAGAAGAACACTCTAAACCTGCCTTTTCTAGGACCCTTCCCAACCTTAGGTATGAAAGACAGGACAGACTCAGTAGTGGAGATGTCATATTGGGGTTGAGTTTGTGAGAGGAAGGACTTGAGCTCACGGGGCAGTTGGGAGAAGTTGTCCTAACTTGGGCAAAGCAGTTCACAGGCAACACTGCAAAAATCATCCAGGACAACTGACTTCAACATTGTGCCAAAAAAAAAGGCTTCTGAAGAAAAAGAAGTGGTCAGAAAATTAGCTGGTTTACACCATTCTGTGTTTATGCCTTTCACTGCATTGACATTAATTAAAACAAATTTCAGGCTGTGATAAGCAGATTGGATTTTGCCTTTCTTAACTTACCTTTGAGTATATCTTCTTGGAATGGGTCTGCTGGTTTTCAGGGGATGAACAGTGGCAGACTGAACCCCAAAGTATCTTAAGGCATAATATGTAGCACAATAGAAGCTACTCTTTAAGTCGAACTAATTCCACTGTCTCTTCTTTGCTGCAGGTGGTGGATGTGGACTTTAAAACAGCGTGTCTCAACATCTCATCCTCAACTATCAATTTTTAATCTGATTGCACTACAAAAGAAAAGCTGCTAATGGGATAAATGTTGAGACTTTACAAGAACTGACTTGAAGTACCAAAAGCCATTATTATTAATCAAGAAGAGCTTGAAGCTAAGTCTGCATCTGACCAGTCAGGATCATTTTCACATAACAGGCATGGCAAGTAAACGAAAATCCACAACACCGTGCATGGTCTTGGCCAACGAGCAGGATCCAGATCTAGAAATGGTATCAGACTTGGAGGAAGGACCACCTGTACTGACGCCAGCAGATAACCCGGCAGCAGAGAGCGTAACGAGTGATGAGGATGCCCATGAGTTCGTGGATCCAGACAATCAGAAAAACACAAATAAAGTCGAAGGTGGTTATGAGTGTAAATACTGTACTTTTCAAACTCCAGATCTCAATATGTTTACTTTTCATGTGGATTCGGAACATCCCAACGTAGTATTAAATTCATCCTACGTTTGTGTAGAATGCAATTTCCTTACCAAAAGATACGATGCTCTCTCGGAACATAATTTGAAGTACCACCCTGGAGAGGAGAATTTTAAATTGACCATGGTGAAGCGTAATAATCAGACAATCTTTGAACAGACAGTAAATGATCTAACTTTTGATGGGAGTTTTGTTAGAGAAGAAAACGCAGAACAGGCTGACTCTTCTGAGGTCCCCTCATCAGGCATCTCTATTAGCAAAACTCCTATAATGAAAATGATGAAAAACAAAACAGAGACTAAACGTATTGCTGTTTTCCACAGTGTAGCTGATGACATTCCTGGTGAAGAAAAGGGAGCTGAAAATGAGCCAAACTCTGAAGAAGTAGTAGAAAACCCACCGCCAGCGGTTTCTGAGTCAAAAGCGAGCCATTCGGTTGTTGGTAGTGCAGCAGATGTGGCTAGTGCGGTGGTGACTCCAGCACCGGTGCTTCAGCCTGGGGTGGCACAGGTCATAACAGCTGTTACAGCTCCACAGAACTCAAACCTGATCCCAAAAGTCCTAATACCTGTAAATAGCATTCCAGCCTATAATACTGCGTTGGATAACAATCCTCTTTTGCTTAACACCTACAATAAATTCCCCTATCCAACCATGTCGGAAATCACTGTTCTTTCCACTCAAGCTAAGTACACAGAGGAACAGATTAAAATATGGTTTTCTGCCCAGCGTCTGAAGCACGGGGTGAGCTGGACGCCAGAGGAAGTGGAGGAAGCAAGGAGGAAACAATTTAATGGCACAGTGCATACTGTGCCACAGACCATTACCGTTATTCCAGCACACATTTCCGCCGCTAGCAATGGTTTACCTTCAATTTTACAGACATGCCAAATAGTTGGTCAGCCAGGACTAGTTCTCACTCAAGTTGCAGGTGCAAATACATTACCAGTAACAGCCCCAATAGCTTTGACTGTAGCAGGAGTCCCAAATCAAACACAGTTACAGAAGAGTCAGATTCACACTGCTCAGCCTATTGCAGAAACCAAACAAGTAGCTGCTGTTCCAGCCCCTCAGCCTATCAAAAATGAATCTGCCTTGATGAATCCTGACTCCTTCGGCATCCGAGCAAAAAAAACTAAGGAACAACTGGCAGAACTGAAAGTCAGCTACCTTAAAAATCAATTTCCTCAAGATTCAGAAATTGTTAGGCTTATGAAAATAACGGGCCTGACTAAAGGAGAGATCAAAAAGTGGTTCAGTGATACACGCTACAATCAGAGAAACTCAAAGAATAACCATGGGATTCATCTCAACAGTGATTCATGTGCCACCATTGTTATTGATTCAAGTGATGAAATGAACGAGTCCCCAACGGGAGCCACTCCGCAAAACAAGTCATCATGGAGCACTTTTCCTGATTTCACCCCACAGAAATTCAAAGAGAAGACTGCTGAGCAGCTGCAAGTCCTCCAAGCAAGTTTCCTTAATAACCCCATCCTTACTGATGAAGAGATGAATAGGTTAAGAGCCCAAACCAAACTCACCAGGAGAGAGATCGATGCCTGGTTTATAGAGAGAAGGAAATCAAAGGTTTTGAAGGAAGAAGGAGCTGACTTGAATGAGAGCAATGCTGGCAGCTCGAAAGAAGAGGCTGGTGAAACATCTGTGGGAGATGGAGCAGCGGGAGCAAAATCAGGGTGTTCCACTTCAAGCAAAATAGGCAAAAAATCACCAGAGCAGTTGCACATGCTCAAAAGTTCCTTTGTCCGCACACAGTGGCCATCTCCACAGGAATACAACAAGCTGGCAGAAGAAACTGGACTCCCAAGATCAGAAATCGTGAGCTGGTTTGGAGATACTCGCTATGCCTGGAAGAATGGTGGATTGAAATGGTATTATTATTACCAGAGCGCCAATGCAAACAGTCTGAACGGCCAAGGCTTTGCAAGGAAGAGAGGGAGAGGAAGACCAAAAGGGAGGGGGAGAGGCAGGCCTCGGGGGAGGCCTCGGGGAAGCAAGAGGTTAAATTGCTGGGACAGAGGTGTGTCTGTCATAAAATTCAAAACTGGAACAGCAATCCTGAAGGACTACTATATGAAGCACAAATTCCTTAATGAGCAAGACCTTGATGAACTGGTAGCCAAATCTCACATGGGATATGAGCAGGTCAGAGAGTGGTTTGCAGAAAGGCAAAGAAGATTAGAACTTGGAATAGAGCTGTTTGATGAGAATGAGGAGGAAGATGAAATGTTGGAAGATCAGGAAGATGAGGAAGAAACGGATGATAGTGATACTTGGGAACCCCCCCGACATGTTAAGCGTAAACTTTCCAAGTCAGATTGATGTGCAATTCAGGATTTGGGGGCCAAAAACCTATTAATGGGTTTGATGTTATGGTGAAGAGCCAAATGATTTCTTCATGGCCTTCAGTTTAGCAAGCACCTGCTTAGCATCTTCCTTCCACCTAAAAGAACCTGGGCAAGATGCAACCTGCAAGATGCAACCTGCAAGCAGGCAACAACTACTTACTTCCTTGCTACAAGAGGTGGACATCCTCAGGCCTAGCCTAGGACATGGGATTATAAATCGGATCCAGTTCAGCTCCTCCTCTTCCACATTACTGATGGGAAGGTTCATGTTCATCATTCACATAACTGCTTCTCAATATTTAATTGCCTTATGTTGTTTAATTCCAAAAAACCCACAGACTCATTTTTTTTTGCTGATGTAGGAGAACATTGCCTGCTCACGAAGGAGGAACGTACAAAAACCTAAGATGTCTTTTTGCAAACATCACTTCACCCGAAAGGTTTCAAGGCCTGGGTTTATTTCTTAAGGAAAGAGTTCAAAACAAAAGAGAAGGGGAAAAGTGTGACAAAGGAATCAATGAACCTAGGGGTGAGGATGGCTTGGTTTAAGAAAACGAGGTGATAATTGGCACCTTTTGTGTATCTTCAGAGTGTTTTGGGTTTACAGAATTTGTGCTGAAATGTTACTTGTTGATAATTATGAGCAAACTGAATGAGTCTAATGCTAGAAGATGCTTTTCTTTACATTTAATCAGTGTATCCTACACCAGTTTAATTTAAATGCCTGACAGACTTGATGCAGTTGATAGTAACATTAATTTTTAGCTTGTGCGTTCTTTCCTTTGTTGGAAATGGTAAGAAAAGTTTGTATATTTCTAGCTAAAAAAAATAATTCTTGAAATCTTACACTGAATTTGAAGGTAAACGTGAGGTGGAAACTGCCTAAAAGGCATTCAGAGTTGCTTATGGGGGTTGTAAGAATACACAGATACAGAGATGCAAAGTGTCTTCGGGTGCTATTAAGAAAGGTTTTCAAGTAAGCTGTGGCAATGACATGATGTTTAATTCTCAAACAAAATGAAGTTATATGGCTTTTAGATGCTTAGGAATGATAAACACGCCAGCGTTGAATTGTTCCTCAGTGATAGCCCAGTTGAATGATGTGTGTGCAGGTTTAACTTAAATTCATCCTGGTGGATTGAGCTCGCCGCTCTGCTGATTATTGTTCTTAGGGCTGCTGGGTGAATGCACTTATTTCTAGAGGTGGTTTGATCTGCCTGAACTGAACTGCAGAAGTAGTTTAATCTGATGTGAAACATTCACATCTTGAATCAGTGTCTTTAAAACGGGGTGAGAAAGGCCATTTAGTCTCAAAACGTTGTTGTAGAGTTTGAATTAGCATCTTAAAAACAACAGGCCAAGTTCACAGGAGATAGTTTAGGCAGATGTATGGTGTTCCATAGAACTGGTACATTGAGGAAGAGTAGGCTGTGTTCCTGCTACTGTCAGTCTGCATTTTTTAGGGATAAGTTGCTTTCTATTTAGATGTCAAAAGACGACGATGAATTGGTGCTGCTGTCACCAGCATTGTCTGCTTTTACACTGGCACTAATGGAAAGGATACTTGCAATCTCCTTTTGCACACCTGTCAGCATCTTCCCTCTAGGCTTCTGCATCCGGTGACCTATGAGAGATTAGCGTCGAGAAAATGTGTCCCAATATTTCCACATCTCCAGGAACCAATTCTAGAATTACTCTTTGTTTCTCACTGTGGTAACTGTTAAAGGACCAAGACAGTCATTTTAGTAATGATTTTCTGAAGCAGAGGAGTCCGTATTAGATCTCTATTTCCTTACGTGAATGTGGGTGAAACCCAGGTCAAAGCAAGAAAGAAGGGAATAATGTCCAACAAAAAATACTGTTAACCTCCTGGTCTCCCTTCTCTGTGGTCGCTTTAGCTGCCTTTCTGCTCCCAGATTGAACAGGCTGCTTGAGTTGCAGGAGGATGTTCTGTATGAAAAGCATTTTACCAGGTGAGCTTTAGAGATTGCTGGGAAGAAAAGGGCAGTGGCTGTTGGTGTGTGAGGTGAATTTGATGATGAAACTATTCTCTGGCTTCCACGATTGAAATCAGTGAGGCACAAAGCAGCCAGTGGTGCTAGAGAGGGATAGATAAGAAGCCCTCAGTTTAACTTTGGGGTGGGGGAGAAGCAAAACCGTGTTGTCCACCTATTTCACTGGAGTATTTATGTCTCTGGGTGTGAGGTGGTGTAGGGGAGATCAGGATCTGGCCTTTTCAGCTGTGGCTTTTAACTATGGTTGGGAGGTATTCTTGTTTGGCTGGTAATGGTGTGGATGAGGCTGTTGTAGATGCCAGCAGATAGAAGAAAGATTCTCCGCTGGGAATACAGTGCTTGCTGAGAGGGAAAGGACAAAGCTAGTAGGAAAAGAGATGCTATTTTTAAGATTCAAAAAATATTAAACAAATCCTTAAAATCCTTGGGAATATGCCTTTAGCAGGCAAAATCTAGAGTTGCCTTAATCCTTAAAATTGACCCAGAATTAATATTTTTCACAACAACCCACACACACACAAAACAAGCCAACCAACCCTCACCCAAGCAACCTGTCTAAATAAACAGCTCATTTTTTTTGTTAGCAGAGACTGCTTTTAGGTTAACATGAAATCTGACCTTCTCTAAAAGATGGGAAAAAATAAAGATCCAAGTTAATTCTACGATCAAACCGGGAAATCTTCCATGTTGGCAGTGTTCTGTTAAATAACTCTCAGCTACAATGGTAGGCCTTAGCACATCTGGTCTGAAAAACACAGGAAGAGGAAATACATTGTTTATCAGACTAAATATAGTTGGATTGGACATATCCTTTCAGTGGAAGGGTCAGAGATGGAAGCTGATGTATACCGGGCCAGATTCTCAGCTGTAAATACTACAGTTCCGTGTATTCCACTGGTTACAGTAGTACTTACAGCCCACTGAGGAACATTTTCTCTTTGCAGAATGTGAAGTTGAAATTAAACCATGTGCTGTGGGTTGGCTAATGGGAGATGCACAGTACCCCCGTTTCCTTTGGGCTTAAACCTTTCAGTTGTGCCAAGGATGAGGAAAATCTGGGTGGGTTCAGCCTGAAGGCAGCACTTGCATGCATTCGTTATTGCTCATAATGTGTTATTTCTGTTTGAACAAACAGAGTCCATTAATTACCAGTTTATTTCGTGTTTACAGCATATGTATATTTGCACTGCATACTGGGAGAGAGTGAAACTCCTTCTGGAGGCCCCTTGTATGAGAACTGACAGGAGAAGCACTGGAAGGAGCTGTCAGCATGCTGGTGTATTCTATCTGTTAATTGTAGTTGTGGGTGGTGGGAACTCAAAGCTTCTGGTAGCAGTGGTGTGGCCAACCTCAGGCTGCTGTGCTCCTTACCTAGGTGCTTGAGGCACACTGTGTAGTCACCCAAGAGAAGCAGAAATCGCCTGGGAGTAGGATGAGGCACCTTGTCATCTTCCCAGTTACATGCAGGAAACTTCCTCAACTTAAGCACACCAACAAGACTCTCAATGGGTGATGAATCTGAGCATCTCTGCACTCATCTGCAGTGCATCTCTGCAGCACTGCTCCCTCTTATAGCTTACACATCTGCAAGGTGTTTTGGAAGGCACCTGGACTGAGCTGCGTTGACAGTGGGGAGGTGAGGAGCAAGAAAGTCCATCTACCCTGGGGTGGGTGTCCATGTAGGGTTTTGTTGATCTCCCTGCGGGGTAAAGAACTGTGTATGGATGTCTTCTGTGTTTCTGTGGAGCTTCACCTCTTAGGTTTGAGCTGGTTATGAGCCAGGCTTCAGTGGTCATCATTGACAGTGAGATGAAGAAACTCTGATCTTGTTCAGGTCTCACCTCCAGGTGTCTGGCTTCTCAGTCTTCCTTGGGAGCAGTTTCAGAACTCGGCTGTGAGCATCAGTTCCTTTAGAGCTAAGGTAGAGCTTTCCTCTTCATCTGCTGGCTCTGTCAGGAGTACCTGATCTGATGATGCTGGTTAACTGCTGACTGGAATTCACCTAAAGAGAGAATAAAGGTGACCCTGTGCCAGAATGGAGAGGGAGAAGGGCTAAAAGGAGGCAAGCAGTGTTAAACCAGGTGAGGCATCCCACCTTCAGTGTATTGTGTTGCTTCGTGGCATGTTTTGCTCTTGCTTCTGAGCACAGTGAAAGAGCACAGTTCCATCTTAAATAGTGATGTCTTCCCAGTATCAAACTCTGAATGACCCCAAGGTTAATATTTGTTGTAAAAAGGTCAGACCTGTTCCTCCCTGGAGGTTTGAATGAACTAAGAGAGTGCTGGCTTGTAAGAAGAGGGAAGAAAGGAAAATGCAGAAGCTTGAAGGCTCTGACTTTGCTTGCCCTGCAGAAGTTGATAGGCAAAACAAGTTTTTCTCATGCTGTTCTGACAGGACAAGTATTGCCATCACTCACTTTGAGCACACAGAAATCTCTGCTTTGCTTTGAACCCAAAGGAGAGGAAAGATACCTAGGACCTCATGATTAGAATTTAGTGGATTATCTCTAATACACTGTAGTCAATGAGGCCATTCCCTTTTTTAACTTCGCCCAGTACATTTTGAAACCTGCTTTTGCATGACATTGTATGCAGTGTGGGGTCTGGCTGTAACTTTGATTATTGGGAAGGAAACTCGTGCAGTGCCTGCACATGACAGTTTTTCTAATGCATGATGCTGACTTTGGGCAAAAGCCAAATCCTGCTCGCCAGGGAACTCTTGAGGCAGGCGAATGTATTCCCTTGTCCTCTACAGAGCAGAGAAAGCATTTCTGGAGCCCAGACAAAGTGATTCATGGCCTTACACAGCCCCTGTAGGCCAGAAAGCCCAAAGATGCATTCATTCTCCTCTTCCTCCTCCGTTTCCTTCTGAAATGAGAGCACAGCAGTAACTCTGACATCTGGTCTCTGGCTGCTGAGTAACCAAGCTGTAGTTTAAGGTGGGGAGCGTTCTCCCTTTT